ATTTGTTTGAATATATCATATGTTATACTTTATTATGTTTTGATTGATGTCTTTTGAGATGTTTCAATCCAAAAATGCGAAAAAACGAGGTCAATTGAAAATATAAGACAAATTGGATTTATTCTCTTGCATAAGTATTAATTAAATAACATTATTAAATTAATCACGAAAGTGATAATATAAAGCCGAGCCGCCTGATTGTCGAGGATTAATATAGTGTGATGCTTTGTTGACCTCGGTTAGTGCTTAATATAATTAAATATAAGAGGGAGAAGGGTCTTAAAAAGAGAAAATGAAGTGGTGCACTAGCAATGAAATAGAGAAGTCCGCCCTCCCCACCTACGCGAGGGGGATCGCTCTATTAACAATTTCTTTGTGGAGTGTTACAATATAAATTAACCGTCTAGTTCGTCCTTCATTAATTCATAAAGATTTTGTATGTGCAAGGTGACGAAGTCAAAAGGTCTTACATAATTTTTTTTAATTTTTAAATCAATGAGAAGAAAAATACTAGAAAATTAAGTAGAACGTAAAGAAACAATCCACTACAAGTGACAACGGAATAGACAATGATATCTTCTAGCGTCGCAAGAAGTCTTTCGTTTCATTAATATATTATTTATACAAGGAAAAATAATACAAAATAAGGATATATTGTAAGTGCCAATTTCTAACTAGCTAGGAATCAAATAATTTTGTCTTTTATTTCATTAAAACAAGAAGTAAAAGCTTAGAGTATAAAGAAAAAATTACAAATAGTGATCCATGAGTGACGATCAAAACTAGGAAGGAGAAATTTTGAGTGCATCGTAATTCAGATTCCATAACCAAATTAAAATCTTAATTCCTCCACCGTAAGACCTATTTATCGACAACATAAATTCTCGTTTGTATTTGTCTACGAACATCTCATCTAAAAACTTGCACGTATGTCCAAATTACAAATAATTCTTTATTGAATAAAAATTTATGCTAGCCAGCAATCAGATTCTAAAAAGATAGTGGTGCATAATGTTGCGCCCAATTAAATAGATTATGCACCATAATTTAATAATTATTTAAAATCTTATAGTTGAGTCAATAATAACTCAAGCAAAAAAAAGTAAATTTAAATATTACGTGCTGCTGCTATATGCTTCTAGTACACAAGTACGAATAAATATAGAAAAACCTCCATTCACCTTTAATTTTATACTGGATTAGTAATACTCCACTACAATAAAAAGAGGAGGAAATTTGGAACGTAGACATATTTAAATGTGCAT